AGGGGGTGATGGCTATCGTGCGTTCCTGGCTCCCGACCCCTGCGTGGGGACTGCAGGAACAGACCCCGTGCAGGCTCGGGGACCTCGGGCTCTTGAAATGGAGCCACAGCAAACAAGCTGCCCATGACAGGCAGTGCTGCAGGGCAGTGTCGCCTCTTCCCGCGTAGGAGCACACCTGGTCCTCAGACCAGTCTGGCAGAGCGGCCCGGCTCTGTCCTCACTCACACACATGGAGGTCCCTTCACTGTGAGTGGTCGGCTGAGCGTCACCGCTTTGGGGCGCTGGAGTGGGTCCTGGAATCTCGGTTTCCTGACTTCTCGTTGGCCGTTGTCCCCATTCCGTGCTTCCTCATGGTCGTCTATTTCAGGGTCTTGTTCCGGCTCTGCAGGGGCCAGGCCGTGGTGGCATGGCGGAGACCGCGGCCACCGTGCGGAACCGCAGGCTCAGGGCTGCCTGCTTCCCATTTCTTCTGAAACTCTTCAAATCAGGATTTTTATATCAGATGCCACCATTTTCAGATGTTATATCAATTTAAAAACAAACCACTGTGCCAGCCCGTTGGTGATTTGGGCGTTACACTTAGAAAACACTTTTGCTTAACGTTCTTTTCGGAATATGAACAGAACCCAAGTTAATGTAATGGACCACAGTCCCGTCTGTGCTTGCGGGGCGGAGGGCAGGCAGGGGGCATGAAGAGGAAAGCATTAAATGGTGGCAGGAGGTAGGAGGTAGGAAGTCACCATTTGGACCAGTTCTTAAATCCCCAAACCCCAGGTTGTAAAAAAACGGGAGCAGAAACTCCTTCAGGGGAGGTTGGTGGCCAGGGCTGTGCCCAGTCCATGGGGGGTGAGGTCCAGGAGGCAGGGCCTCCACTGGGCGGCCTGTCAGAGTGGCAGGCTCTGTGGATGGATGTCGGGCCCCAGCTGTTACATGTGATTCCCAGAGCTGAGGCTGCGTCTGGTTATGTTCTCTTCCTTCATGGTCAGTGACTTCGGGAATTGCTTGAACCCTGCGGAGCTCGTCCGCCTTCAACCCCCGCCCCCCACCCCACACCCACACCCTCTCGCTCCGTCCTCCTCCAGCCTCGCTGGTGTCTGGTGTCTCCCCAGCTCTTAGAATGCACTTGAGACTGCAGCTCAGCAGCGCAGGCCCTCGGCCCTGGGTCCTGGCCTCCCTGCACCGCCCCTGAGCCCTGCTCTCGTCCGCCTGGCCCTGCAGTTCTCGTCAGGCGCTGCATCCCTCACGCACGCACTCCCGTGCTCTCGGGGCTGCAGTCTGTTCCCTCCCCCACAGCGTTTTTTTTCTAGCAAATTCTTCATCTTCAGGATTCAGATTTTATGTCATCTCCCGGGAACACACCTGACTCTTCTACAGTGTCCCCCGAATTGCCTTTCCAATATGGAACCATCCAGGTGCTGTAATAACTTGCTTACTAGTCTGTCTTGGTAGCCTGTGGGCACTGGAGGGAGAGGGGAGATAGTGTCAGTATTCCCAGTGGGAGCCTTTCCTGGCTCATAAATGGTCATCCAGGAGTAAATGGATGAGCAGTTAAACTTGTCACAGCAAGTACTTAAGGTAAATGTTTTATTTAGTCTTTGGATGTTCAGAGTGGTTGGCTGCAAGGTACAGTTGAGATATCTCCCTTAAGGCAGGGACTGGGTGGGGAGCGGGGTGGGGGGGAGCAGGGAGAAGGAGGAGGCGGAGAGAGGGAAGCAGGGTATGCGGGGTGGTGACTGCCTACAAGTCACCAACCTTGTGCTGGCCTCAGCCTGTGCCACACCCCGGCCTCCCTGTAGAACTCGTGGAGTTCGCCTTCTCCTGCCTCTCATTGGTCGACTCACGTTGGAACTGGCCCACAGAAAGTGCATCCATGGAAATGCAGACGTTGGCGGAGACTTCGTGTGGTTATGCTGAGGTGGAGATCAGGCAGTGATTTCCTTTTTAGTGAATTAATGATCAGGGTCAGAGTGCCATGCTCAGGAAAGTCACGGTCAAGCAGATGGTGAGAGCAGGCAGGGTCCATTCAAGAGCTGCTCTGGTAATATGGATTCCAGTCTTTAGAGGTAATTAAAATAGAACCCCAAGCCTGAAGTGATTAAAATAGAACCCCAAGCCTGAACTGGTTGGAATCGTGAAGCCCGTTGGCTTGATGATTGAGATGCCCTTGGATGTCCTGCCCATATCTCGTGTGATGTCCTTGGCTCCCTCCCAGTGACCACCTTGCACGTGTGTGCTCAGGGGGAACCGCCTCTGCAGGGAACGTGTTAGCCGGTGATTCTCAGGGCTCTGATTTGAGAGGCAGCCAGTCTTGTGTCACCAAGTGTGTACTCAGAAACATCTGGGCCTGAGCCCTGACTTTGTGACGTAACCGAGCCAGTGGTCCAAGGCAAGTCTCTTGGTTTGTTTGTGGAGTCACTAGTCTGTGAAATGTGGGTGATGTCCGCACAATGCCATCTCCTCGCAGGGTCGTTCAGAGTTTTGAGATGTTCGTGTGTTAAGTGCTTTGTAAGTTATAAAGTACCATATGGATTATTTCTGTTGTCAAAATGAGTGATTACTGAGTGCGTCCACTGGGGAGGTACCACCTAGAGTGGCCTCGATTAGGGGCTGGTTTTGCATGCAGTGACCTTTAGTGCCAGTGGCCTTAATGGTCTCCTGTTTGCTTTTTCCCCTAAGGTGACCGACTTGACCCCACAGCTGTAAACATCCTCCAGCAGATTATCGAGCTGGGCACCGAGACCCATGACGCCACTGCTGTGGCCTCGGTGGTTGCCATGGCTCCAGGGACAGTGACTGTCGTGAAACAGGTAAGGACCCTCCCCTCACCTCTTAAATTTTATCTTCCCTACTCCCGTGGGGTTTTGAGGCTTTAACTTTTCCCCGGGTAGAATTTGGAATGAAATTGGTCTAGTCTCAGGCATTTCTTATTCTGCCTCTGATCATTAGGGAATTGTCTTTTCAGTAGCTCATGTGTGGAGGTGTGTTTTGGGGGAGAGGTATGATATATTTTTGAAAATTCTGGAAACTTTATTAATTTCTTTCCAAAGAATCCCAGAGTGACAGTGAGTGTGCTGTGGACACTTTTGGACTCATCTGTTGTGAAAAGCACCCTTGGTGCCTAAGGCACCAGTGAGTGGACGGGTGGGAACTGTGAGCAGAGCCGGAGAATCCAGGAAGGTTCCCAGCGGACTGGCCTTTTAAAATGTCAGATGTCACCCAGATCGGATCAGTAGAGGGTGAGCGAACTCGAGGAGGAAAGGATCAGTTTTGAATAAAGGTTACTCTACTCAATTAATTGTTACACCATTTGGCTCATTTTCTCTTCTATCCTGAGAGACTTTAACATCTGTTAAAATTCATTGTGTTTGATAATTAGATCTTCTTTTTCTGTCTTTATGTCTCTACTGTCTCCTGCTTCATTTTACAAATGATTTAGGCTGGCTTACACAAATACTTCAAAAAAAAACAAAACCACAGTAAGCACATCAGAACCAGGATAGAGCCAAGGTATATAATTTAAAATCAAAGTTCACTTTCATGGGGAAATTTGGACTGAAGATCGTAGGGTTTTAGTTATCCATCCTTTTAGTCATTTAGTCAATAATTATTTAGTCGGTGCCCACTCTTGTCAGGCAGTGTCTCCAGGGGTCCAGGAGAGAACCAATGTCTGCCCACAAGGCAGTTACTCTCTAGTGGGAAAACACATAAAACACAAATAAGACAGAAAGGGTGTCAGATGGTGACCAAGCGCCACGGAGGAGATGGCGAGGAGGCGGGGGAGGGCGGGGCCGTGGAGCGCGGGTCGGGGCTGTTTCGTGGAGGCTGTCAGGATAGGTCCCTGACGGAGCAGGGGGCCGGAAGAGCTCTCCGAGCTCGCTGGACAGCGGGCGCTGCATTCTGCAGCAGAACAAGAAGGAAACGCCAGACAGTCCACAGCAAAAGGTTCCCAGCAGCAGCCAACAAAGACGCTTCTCAGTGGGGCTCTCACGTTGGGGCCCCTGCGTGAGGTGTCCTCGGGGACCTGCCTTCGACGAGTCGGGGTGCACATCCTCATGCTGTCGCACGACGGTCCCGCAGGTGTGCCCAGGGCCCCACGAGAGCGTGACATGCGTACTTCTCGCTAAGCAGTTCTCGGGGGAACTAGAACGTTCTGGCTCAGCTCCGGCTTCTTCGACGCACAGGGCAGACTCGGCACATCCACAGGGGTGTGGGCCGTGCGCCCTCCGTTAGGTGGCTTCCCGCAGAGGACCGTGGCCGAAGTCCAGGGCGCGGGCGTTGGGCGTTTCCGTCCGCAGCCCGCTGTTCTGCAGTGGCTGGGGCACATTCATACTCTTCCAGGCTCCACATGTTGAGCTTCCCTTTGTATTTACTCGATCGCAGTCTCTTCGGAAACTCCTCCTCTGCATCGTGACATGTGGCATCCTGAGCTCGACCCGGCTCTCAGGAGGGGTCTACTGGGGAGGGTGTCGGGAGACCTGCGGATGTTTCAGACACGCCACATCCTTTTGAGCATCGCAGGAGATGCTACCGATTGTGATTTGCGTCTTCTTTCTAGGAACTGGATTGATTTGCTGCTACTCAGGGACATGACTTATTGAGCATCGCAGGCAATGCAGTGAGACATGAGGTTGCGGGTTTAGGATGCAGCTTAGATGTGCTTCGAGGCCTTAGACTGACAGCGCGACAAGGGATAAGGCAGATAAGCATCCGGTACAAGCAGCATGAACAGGTATGACGTGCTCACAGTAGCGGAAAACAGTGGCACCCGTCACAGACTCTTCTGGCTTCTTGAAGACACAGGGCTAAGAGAGTGTCACTGTTTAACAGTCTCAAGGAACTGCATTTGGAAATGTTCCCCGAGAATGCGTGCCCTGGGCATTATCCTGTCTCCTGGCCCGGCAGCCAGCTCCCCGAGGCCGTTGGTAAATAACGGGTAGAGAGTGGACGCGTGGACTGATGCCCATGCCTACGGCTGAGGGGTCGTAACGTGCCGGGCTCTCCCGCCAGCAGAATGGTCCAGTCCCACCCGACCTGTTGTTTAAATTCAAATATAGCTGTTTTTAGTAGAGAAATAAATTAGTTTCATTTTTTTTTCTTTTAATTACACTCCGGTTTAGGATTTTGCAGTAGAGAGATTATATCTGTTTAACGAGGGTGCCAGAACCACTTAAGTGTGAACTCTGTGCTTGTCGGAAGACAGTAAAGCTCCCCCTTCACGCGAGGAGCCCCTGGATGCTGGGGACCTCGTCTTTCTCAGCGCAGCGTATCCCATGTGCTACTTGCTCTGTCAGTGTTCGTTAAGGAGGGTTGAGTGCACTGCGGGTTTATGTTTTGATTCTCCAGTTACATCCTGTAGAGAAAAACAAGAACATGACATCTTGTCATAAAGTATCTGCAGTATACTGCAGAAAACATTTCGAAAATACTGTTGGATAGCATATTTTGAGATCTTCTTAAAGTTACCTATTGTGCGTGTGTGCATATATATATATATAAAAACATTCTGCGTTGTACGTGAATTGGTTCTGAATGTTTAAAAGATTCATATTTCTTTTCCATATAAAAAAATAGTTGTATTCTGTTTCTACTTTTGTTTTTCATGATTTATTAATGTAAATAGAATCTTACATATCAGTTTTTTAACGATAATTGAAAATCTCCAGTCTCTGGGTTTTTGGTTTCTGAGATGTAAGTAAAGGCAGGCCTGGTGGATAGGCTGGGGGCGCTGGAGAAAAACTGTTTCTTCTTATTAGGTTGCTTTCTTATTTTTTAATGAAACATGGACAAGATTTGACTCGTAATTCAGACCATTTAAATTTTCGGTTGGACACAGAAACGTGTCCTCAGTGATTTCCTGTCACTTCGCTCTTTTCTCACGCGTCAGCGTTTAGAGTTGTGGGTATGGAGCGTTTTGAAATGTCCAGAAAGCAGGCCTCACACGCACCTCACCGGCCCGGCCCGAGGAAACACGTGAGAATCTCGAATGAAGGAACTGTGTTTGCTAAGACCCAATGGTTCTCATTAAGTAATTTTTTCTTTCTTTTTGTTAAATCTTGCTTTAGGGTTTTATGAGGAGGGAACTTATTATTTGATTAATAAAACTGCCTAAGCAGGTTAAATGTGAGACCGTCCAGCATAGGAAATGTTATCATAAGCATCTCCAAGTCAAAATTTAAAAGAAAAGAAAGACTTAAAATAACACCAACCACTGTAACCATTGTCTAATGGCTTAAATCAATCACTCCTTGCTATTTTTATGGATCAGAGTTTATTTCTGGACTGAAAGTCACATTTTGTTGAGTGATTGGCGGGCGCTGGCTGCACATCGCTGCACGCGCCCTCTGTGAGCGTCGCCGTCTGTGGCAGCTGTGACGGTGCCACAGACAGAGTGGCTCAGAACAGCCCAGACTCATTACCTTACTCTTCCGGAGGTCAGACGCCTGAACGGTCTCACTGGGCTGAAATCAAGGCGCGGATGGCTGCATTCCTTCTGGGAAGGACTTGAGTGCCTTTTCCAGCTGCTGGAGCCTCTGGCTTTCCTTGACCCCTGAACCCCTTCCCCCATCTTCAAAGCCAGCAGCTGCAGGCCCAGCCCTTCTGAGGTCCCGTCCCTCTGATCGCTCCTTCCGGTGCCACATGGCCTTCTCCGAGTTCGACCCTCCTGCCTCCCTCTTATGAGGACCCCTGTCCTTATGGGTGCCCACTTGGCTAATCTAGGATAATCTCCCCATCTCCAGATCCTCAGTTTAATCGCAGTGGCAAAGTTCCCTTTGTCATGCAAGGTAACATTCTCAAGTTCCGGAATTAGGAAAGGCACATCCTTGTGCTGGGGAGGCAGGGTTCTGCCTACCATTGCTGGCTTGCAGGATTAAAGGCAAGTCCGGCTCTCAAGAGGGAAATAGCCTTTCAAGGGAAAGGATTCATGCTTTCACTCGTAAACCCCCTCCGAGCTGCTTCTACCTGCCAGGTGCTGTTCACGGCACTTGGGATATTGCAGTGAACAAAGCAGGTGAATGGTACAGTCGAGGAGTTTGCATTCATAAATAAGTAAATAACGTAGTACGTTAGAGCTGAAAAGCAAACCAGGAACAAGCGGAACCAGTCAAGAGGCATGAGGAACGCAGACCTTCAACAGGAAGGTCCAACCTGAAGTAACGAATGCTGCTTCGGGGAGGGGCCGGTGCCCCAGCTCTGCGGGAGCACCAAGTGGTTGCCTGCCTTGGACCTGGGTCTGGGGTGGGGGCAGGTGCGGGGCAGGCCGGGCTTCGTGGAGGCCTTGGCAGGGGAGTAGGGTGTCGCGGGTCGCTGGCAGTCGGGTGCAGCAGGGCTCCTGGCAGAGTGGGAGTCACGCATCGCTCCGCCTCCTGTGGACTGACCGTCTCGGTGGCGACAGTGTTTGGCAGCACTATGGGCAGGTCTGTGTCTCTGTCCCCATTCTTGGTTCTCTACAGTGTCCCCTAGGATTGCCACTCTTCGACTCATTGTTTTTCCTCCACGTGCTCGATGCTTCCAAGCTGTCAGCCAGGGTCCCAGAGGCAGGGAGCACCAGGAAGGAGCCGTTAAGACGGCCTTGGGCCTGCAGGCACCTGCCCCTTCCCCATGGGACCCTCAGCCCGATGTGGCGCAGGACTGTGCTGCTGTAATCTTGTCCAAAATCCCAACTGCTCTTCGACTTGCTCTGACTGCCGATTTAAAAAAGAAAAAAACAGAAATTCCAGCTTTGCCAAAAGCAGCCCATCTTGCCCAGCTGCTTTCCCAGCCCTTTGTCATCTTGGAGCAGACCGCCTGTGGTGGCTCGTGCTGGAGG